TTGCTGTTGATTAGGGATAGAGATATCAGTAAAGTGAATAAATTTAAGTAAAAGTTGAAAACGGTCACGATTGAAATGAGTAACAAACCAGGGAGTGTAAGCACAAGGATGACTAATATCCCAATATAGTTTAATACTAGCTTTCTTGATTAGACCCATATTGATAACAACACCAAGAAATGCCTTTATTTCTAAAAGATTTGTTTTTCCTTGCTTTATCCATACATGACCTATCGACAATGGATGAGATCTCAAATGCTGTTGGTTACTTTGTATCCATGCATCAGCATACTGGTTGGTATAAGTTACTAACTTTTCCAAAAACTCTATAGTGAAAAATAATTCAACATAATCAATGGGCTTTGATTCTGGTGAAGTAGTATGTTTGGGTCCTGGTACACCAGTAAAAGCAAAAACATTAGGGCCATGTCATCTCCTACAACAGGAAGCCACAAATCTAAAACATCATCAACACCAGCTTCGTCATCAGAACCGGAGTCTACATAAAAATAAAAACTTCAAATGCTTAGATTTGGTGATATATTTAAATTAAATAAATTTGTATACAATTTTTCAATAAAAAATATTGTGCCTTCATCAAATAAACTATCATCATTGCTACTTAAATATTCTTCGCTTGTACAACTTTCTTCTTCAGTAAAACTTTCTTCGCTGTCACTCATCTTTAATACAAAATATACACAAACAATATACCAAAAGATAGAAAAAAAATGTGCTCTATTCAATGGTAACATTTTAAAATTATGAACAGCGGTATTTCTGTAGAAAAAGTCATAGTTCTGATGAACACTTTTAAAGCCACGATCGTGGCTCTACGTGCTCTGACGGTATAGCCACGATCGTGGCTCCCCGTGCTCAAAGGGTTAAATCCCTTTAAGAAAATCAACCATAAACAAGTGTTAAATTTAAATTATTTAAAAAAAAAATAAAAAAAAACAACCTTAAAACGAATGTTTAAAAGCAAAAAAATTAAGTTTAAATAAGTATAAGATTTTAATACAAGAAAACTTTTTTTTAACCAACACCGAAATTTTTTTTTTTTATAACAACATTGTACAATTTAAAGCTATTTCGTTTCAAAGACTAACAATAGTTTTTAATGTCATTTTAAATTTAATTACAATTAAGTAAAAACGCAACTGACGTAAATTAACTTTTAACAATGTAAATATCTTTATTGAGTAAAGTTACATTTATTCATGTTCAGCTTTTCCGTTACGCAGGGAAATCTCGTAACAAGGCCTGATATATATATATATATATATATATATATATATATATATATATATATATATATATATATATATATATATATATATATATATATATATATATATATATATATATATATATATATATATATATAAATTGGTTAATACGTTCGCGAAAGCATCCCGATGGCACTGTGGGCATAAAAAAACCATAATCAACATGTTTTCATGTTTGAAAACGTTTTCATTTTAAATTACTTAACTCTAAACAATCACAATCCCAATATTGTTTATGTACTTTGATCTCAAAAATTCATTGTTTCTGGTGTCTTTCCAGACTTCATTCCTTTGACCAATATAACAAGTGGAGTTCCTCAGGGTTCATTTTTAGGTCCATTTCTTTTTGCTATGGTAGTTGATGGAATGTTGGTGCTTAATAATTCAAGAAGTCTATTAAATTTGTACGCTGAAGACACCACGCTATTACATTATGCTGGCCATAATAATATCGACAACACACAGGAAAAAGTGAATAATTCGCCAAGTTGGTCACTACGCGCAAAAATGCGCGTAGTGACCAACTTGGTCAGTTAATCGATCGGTCAATCGATCAGTTAAATTTAGATACTGGTTAGCTTTGGTAGTAAATTTGTGTAAAAAAAATTAAACTTTTCAAAAATATTTACGTAAAGACAATAGTTTTTAAAACATTTAAAACATCTTAAACATTTGATAGAGTTACAAATAAAACAGAGTAATTTTGCTAATATTATTAATGAACTTGATTTTTATGGATTTTTTTTTTTTAATTTTATGATTTCTTTTCAATTTTTTATTTGATTTTTTATGTTAAAATTTCTGATTGATAATCTTGCTCACAATATGGCACACTATTTCTGTAATACAAATATGCTCAATTACTAAAAATTTACTTCAAATGAATTTAATGCAATAACTAATAAAAATAAGGCTATTTAATTGAGCTCCATTAAATTCGTGAACCTAAAAAACCTTATATTTTAGCTGTATATGTTACATTAAAAAAATGTAACTTTTCAACAAACTTGCTACAAATTTTTTTTTAGTTTTGGTCAACAAAAACATTAAAAAATCTACCTTCCCATAAATAACACACAGGAAAAAAATAATTAATTTTTAATTAATTCTAATTTTTTATTGAAAACAAAATGTCATATTAGGAGATACCAGATCATGTTGGGTGAGCTGGTATATTCTTGACGTATATTCTTTTTTTTTTTTAAACATCATTTGCTTCCAACAAGGCTGCAAGCAACCATCAAAATTGAAACTGTGAAAATTTTATTTTTTACACAATTATATTTAACCCTTTAATACAATTTATTAAAAAATTAATATTAAATAAAATTTTAGACTTTACAAAAAAATACTGTCAAATATACATATAAATACCTTACCTTATACCTTATATAACCTTAATATAATTACTTCATCAAGTAATAACATTAAGGTACAAAACTAATTTATAGCAGTAATAAAATATTAAATATTAAAAAATATTATTCAAATTTTTGCATCTATAAACCTCTTATTTTTCCATTTATGGAATACTATTTCTGTATATATTTTTTAATTTTATTCACCTCCCCAAGGCCAAGAAGGTCAATACAATCGTAGAGGCTACTTTTTTCTAATGAGGACCACTCTTTTTTAGTTAAGGTTTAAAAAAGAATATGTTTTAAGTGAAAATGTGTTTTAAATATACAAAAAACAAATACAAAATACTATCAGTTGTCTGTGTATACTTGACATTGAATGGATGTTTTAAATTACACTCTCTTATGCCTTAGTTACTTCCTGGTATAATATAAACCTTATTCCAATTGATTTGACAATATAAGAGACTAAAATTTAATAACCAGCATTTTAAGATACGCATACATCTATTACTTAGTAAAAAAAATGTCAAAAGATCGTAAAATTTTCTAAAATAATCATTGTGTATGCATTTCCTAAATTTTATTAATTACTTACACAAAAAACTTACATAAACTAAATGTTATTGACAACTAGGAACAAAAACATTTTTTAGTGCGCACTCCTTCGTAAAAAAAGGACGTCTGGTAACCCACATTTTAATGAAATGATAATATTTAACAAATATAATATTTAATAAAAATAATTAATGGTAACATTAATTATTTTTTATAATTAAAATAAAATAAAAAAAATACAACAAAGACTAGCTACAAAAATATCTTCTAAAACTCGATCTTTTCTTTCTTCTCTTCCACTTTTTTGTTGGTTTCTTCAGTTTTTCTTTTATCTTTTTCTTTTCTTTTTTAATTTTTATCTTTTCTTTTAGTTAAATTTAGGTGAATAAAAGTACGAATTTTTTTTTTGTCTAATCTCTTATAAGTTTATATGACGTAAACTCTCTCCTTCTCCTTTTTATTTGGATTTTTTACAAGGTTTTTTTTTAATTTATATGCACTTAATTATTATTATTTTTTTGTTAATTTTAATTTTTTTCTTTTTAAAATTTCTTACTTTATTTACTGATTAGATATGTTGTTTAGCTATTAAAATTTTTGTTTAAATTTCTTTTTTCTTTTTTTTTTTTCTTTTTTTTTCCATTATAAAAACACGCCCGCCATTGTTGAAGACTCTCCAAGGAATCTCTTATTTTCTTTAATTGCAGTCTGCAATTAAAGAAAAGTCCTCACAAATATTAATTCAAGTCTCACATTATTTTAGTTAATATGCAAATATTAAAAAATTACTATGTTAATAACATTAAATAAAATTATGCACACAAAAAATTCACAAATTTTTAATTTTGATGGTTTTAGTTAATAAAATAATAACATTAACACGTGTAACTGAGCTTTAAATGCTTTTTGAAATTTGATGACACTGCTGCTCTACCAGATATTTTAGATGCTTTTAACTTAGGGCACAGCTTGCATATTTCAACAACATTGTCTGTTGCTTTAAGCTTAGCAAATTAAATTCAAAATAGACAAAAACGCCCTTAGTATACCATGACCCATCTTCTTTATCACAACCACTCGATGAAACTTTCACTGCAATAATATTTATTTACTAAATATATTAAAATACTTTAGCTTTAGCTATGATAATGTTAATGTAAACCAAATGGTCTTTGGATCAGGATTATTAATGATGTCATGAGGAATATATTAACCAGAGTTGGGATTCCAAAAATAGGGGACAAAACAAAAGTAATGGGTGATTTAATATCACCATTACTCATTACTTTCCAAATAATGATTTCCAAATAATGGATTTCCAAATAATGAATTTCCAAATAATGAATTTCCATTACTTGCCACAAACCAAATAATCATTACTTTGTCATTACTTTGAAAAAGGTAATCATTACTGTAATCATTACTTTCCGTAATCATTACTATACAACACTGATGGTTTAGTGTTAGTAAAAATAGCGTTAGCTAAATTTCACGTTTTTTGGTTGAATTGCATATAATGTAAAACCTCTTAACATGTTATATTTATGTAAAGTATTTTATTATATAAATGTTCCCATGTTATTTTGTTATATTTATGCCGCTTATAAACTTTATAATATCTTTTAATAGTAACTACTACTTGTAAGTTTCTTATCAAATTAAACTTAGGGTTGCGCCTGAAACCTAGATTCTAAGTGCAAATATAAATGTGTAATAATACTAAGTTTTCTTTAGTTTAACTAAAAAATTTAAACACCTTTTACACCTTTAGTGTACTCTAAATTGTGTTTTTTAGTTGGATCCAGACAAAGAACTGATATCTATTGGTGAATTTGTTTGTAAAAGCACTTATTCTTCCAAGAAAAAAGATTCTTTAGATCTTTCCTTTCAGTATGGAGATGAAGTAAACCTAATTGAGTTCCCTAGAGCGCCTTCTGGAAAAGTATTGACAAAAAGGGTGTCTGATGGAAAACGTAAGCTTTAATGCATTTTTGCAATGTAAAAAAAAGTTATGATGATTTGACAACAAATTAATGAACCAGCTTGCTATTCAATTATTCTAAAATTGAGCTTAAAAAAAATTAAAAAAAATAAAAAATATGCGATGTAGTCAATAACAAAAATGTCAAATAAAAATTATGACAAAATTTAAGAAAAATATTTAGCTATTTTTTTTAGATTATTTAGTTATAACAGAAAATGTTGTAAAAAAAAAAGTGTACTATCATAGTTTCTATTTTATCAATTTATTTGTTTGTTATATTAGTTTTCTTTTTTCTATTTCTGTTTTCTGTTCTACTTTCTCAACCCAACTTCATAAATATTTTATCAATTTGTATGTTAGTTTGTTATTTTAGTTCGTAATAAGCAAAGCATGATGGTATATAATAGGTATGAGGATACCTATTATTTATGGCGTAGTTGAAAATTTCAGACAACTACGCCAGAAGTACTCTAAAAACATTAAAAATAAAAGGTGGCACTCAATATCATGCTGGATGAAATTATGAAGTCAAAAACTGTCTATATTTGTCAAGTAATAGGCAATAAAACATTAAGTTATCATAAACATATAAACAAATTCAGCAAAAACCTTTGTTGAATTTTTTCCTTGTCTTCTTTTAAAAACAGTTAAAAACATTTTACTAAGAAACAATGCAGCTTTTAGAAAACCCATGCTCATGACTAAGTGGAGGCAAGTAGTTTTAGTGATAAAAGTAATTTTGAAGTAATAAATATAAAAAACTTTGATCTTGTTAATAAATTTAAATCTAAAAAGTATAATAATTATTTTATTGTACTTAGGTTTCAAGGTAGGAGTGAAAGTTTGTATTTAGGGCTTTGTATTTAGGGCTTTGTATTTAGGGCTTTGGTTTCAACAGTGTATGTGTGTGTAACATTTATACAGGCCAAACCAAGCAACACATCTTTATAGAGACCCTCAAGAGAATGATGGTTTCATAAGTAGACATCCTGGTTGATCATAGCAAAAGTTGGCATTTTCAGCAAGTTATGATGCCTGCTTTCACAGTTTGTATGGAAATAGCATAAATAATAATAAAAAAAAAGTAGATTTATTGACCAAGCCAACTTGTTCATTAGATTTGAATATGTTTAAATCTGTGTGGGTTTGGATGGACAAGAGTTAATCATAGTTAGATTAAGATCTATAAATAGCTCAATGCAAGAACACCATTTGAACAAGAGTTATGAAATTTGTAATACTCTTGTTATTTGTACTTGATGTAAAATAATAATAAAAATCATTGCATTAAAATGCTTGTAGGAAAGCATATTTTAATTACTAATTTAGTTATATATATTTGTAATGCCAATTCAATCTAATTTAATAAAAAAAATTTTATAAGTAATTTTTGTGATTATGTTCAGTAATGTTCTTATATGCAATTGTAAATTTTAGTGTGTTATCCATGATGCAAAATTCTTTTTAACAAAAAACTGAAAGAAAATTAAAAAAAAAATTTCAATATCCTCTTTAGTTCATTCATGATAATTTAAATAAGCAATAAGCAACAAAGTTATAAAACACAGTTTATTTCTAAATAATTTCTTTTGAAAGCATTGGGATTATAAGATCAGGATTATAACTTTTTGGTAATCCCAGTTAAATATATTGAACTTTGGTTTAAAAGTAACTGACAGGTCATTAGTTTTAAATGACTTTTTTGAAAAATCATCTAGCATTACCCTTGATTACATGCTGGGTTGTATATATAATTAAGAAATTTTTTTTCTAAAAGCATATTAACCTACAACATTATGTTGTAGGTTAATATGCTTTTAGAAAAAAATTTTCTTAATTATATATACATAGCAACCCAGCAACATATCAACCTGGGTCTCAAAAGAATTAGAAATTCATAGAGATTATTAGAGAAAAAAATAGTTTTAAATACAAATAAATTATTTAAATTTTATATACAATTAAATTATTTTTAAACTAACACGGTTATTTTTAACGAAATTGCATTACTTTAATTTTTTTTTTTTTTTTCAATTTTTTTTTTAAAAAGATTTTTTCAAAATCTCTATAAATTTCTGGTTATTATATATTTGTGATGTCACAAATATTCAACGACCTAATAAAAAAGGCAATCCTTTAATCACCTATCCCAATAAAGTTAAACCAAGCATTAAGTTCATGAAAACAATATTAGAGTTTTTTATGCTAACTCAATCTATAGCATTTTCTGAAATTACCTTAAAAGTGCATGATATACCTGGTTATTTTTGAACTTTTCTGAATGGTTTGAAAAGTATGAAACTTATATGCATAACTGTATATTCGGTGTAACAGTCAACAAAAAATGCATGCTGTGACACAACCTATTTATAAATGCCCACAGAGTAGTTGACTTATGCACTACTACGACGCAGGTCGGAGCCCTCAATATAATTAAATATTGCCATATATTCGGCCAAATATTTTTGGCATCTTTATTATATATCCTAATTTGTATTTATGTTTACAGGCATATATTAGGGTGTCCCAAAAAACAATATTTTTGAAAAATATGCGCTGCCACCCCCTTAATATGTATGATAAAAAACAAACACTGGTTTTAAAAATTTGTTTAATTAAGAATATTTTTAGGGGTCCCCCATCTTTGAACCTATAACAACCTTTGAACCTTTAACATATAACCTTTGAACATATAACAAGTTCCTAAAATTATCAAAAAAAAAAATTTTTCAAAATTGTATCATGTTGGTCAAATGAAGCCAAATTATAAAAAAAATTTTAAAATGATAACTATATTATATAAAACAATTATGTCAGACTTAACAGCATTAAAAATGAAGTTTATTAACTTAAAAAGAAAAAAGTGTATGTTATTATTTTTTTTTTTCAATATTATTTTTTAATAAAGTTTTTATCATTTTTGAAATTTTTATATGAATATGCTTCATTTGAGACCCAACATGATACACTTTTGAAGATAATTTTTGGAACTTGTTGTAAAAAATGGTCTTGGGAGGGACCCCTATAAATACTTTTAATTTAAAAATCTTTGAAAACCAGTTGTTTTTTTTTATCATTTAAAACACATTAATAAGGTGGCAGCATATATTTTTCAAAAATGTTATTTTTTAGAATATTAGCATATATATAAAATTCTGTTAATCCAGTTATAAAAATGCTTTTAGTGATGCTTTTGTTTTATTTAAAACAAAATTTGTTATGTTCTCGTTATGTCTCTGTTGTTGTTTAATTGTGTTGATTTGTTTTTACAGTTGGTTACATTTTAAAATCAGAGTTAGGAATACCAGAAGAAGAGGTAAATTTTTTTTTTATTATTCATTTCAAATTTAATTTCTATTACTTTTTGATAAATTATTATACATACATACATCACAGTAAATTTACCTTCAAAGTAAATCAAAATAATCAGTTAATTATTACAGTAATTTACAGATACTCAACTATTAAATTTACTTAATATACTCAATGACTTGCAAAAATTAGCCATATAAATATTTCTATTTATATCTTATATTGTTAACATATAAGATATATGTTTTGAATAGAATATAAAAAAGGCAATACTATTTTTTTATATTTTCTTTAAATCGATATCAAGATTAAGCATTTTCTATAAATACGCAAGTTGTTTTGAGTTATTTTATTAAAAAAGAAATCTATTAGAACAAAAGAATTAGAGTCTTCTAAAATTTTCTTATTCTAATAATTTTGCGATTAATATTTGAAATTGGAAAAAAAAAAAAAAAAAAAAAAATTTAACACTCAGTAATAAAAAATTTAATTCAGCAAATACCCATTCTGTAATACCCAGCATAGCGAGAATCATTGCTCAAAGTTTCCAAATTTGATATTGTTACTGTAGCTATATATACTTTTTTAGTATATCAGTACATATCTAGCTACAGTAAAAATATCAGATTTAGATCATAGTGCAAGTAAGGAAGAACGTTTTATTTAAATTGTAAACGTTTTAAATAGTTAATTTTATTTTGTTTCTTGAAAATAGTTTTGAAAGTAGAAACATTCTATTGCAAATATTAAACCAGTGATTACTAAAGTTGAAATAAAAAAAAAAATTAATAAAAATTAAAATTAATAAATTAATTTTACTTCTGTTCAAAGAAATTTTTTAAATAACTAAAATAATTTAAGCACATTCTTAAACATAAGGATATATAATTTGATTTATTTAACCAATTTTTTTTGTTTCACTTTTTATTGGAAAACAGTTTGAATGAAAAAATTTAATGACAACATCCACAAAACATTTTAGTAAAAAACTTTATTATATTTAAGTTTTTAACAGTATGCTAGATCAAGCAAAAATTAATTATAAAAAACATGGTATTTAATGTTTTTTTGCTTTGATCTTGCTTCCCTTCATTATCTATTGGGCTGGTGTAGATGTACTCTTAATATATTGTTTCCAGTTTAGGAAGTCAAATGCTGGATCTTCTTGGCTCAATGCATAAGTTTTGCTTGTGTCTCAGTTTTGACTAGGCAACTCATTCTATTACTTTCTAATGAGGATACAGCTCTATAACTTAGTTTTATGGTTCTGAGGCCGGTCGGTAGTCAGGTTTCCCGAACTCTGTGGTAGCTCTCAGAGATGCTGATTCCATCAACAGCTGTAAAATATCAAAGTACTAACAGTGCCATTTGCACATGGATGGTGTCCCTTTTTGTAGTTTTGGTGAGAATTGTTGAAGCCACATTTTAAGCCCTTTGTTACAAGTTTATTAGTAGTAATGAGGCAATTGCTTGAACTATTAAATAGTATACTGAGTTACATCTATGCTTTGAGTCAAGTTCTTTAACAAATTTCAAAATAACTAAAACTATAAAAAAAATAAAACCACTGTCATCACCAAGTTCGCTAAACCTATCATTCACTAATATTTGTGGTCTTCGAAGTAACTTTTTTTTTCTGTTGAGTCTTATTTCTTCCAAAGTTCACCAAACCTACTTGCTCTTTTTGAGACTAGTTTGAGTTCGGCTGTCTTATCTTGTGATCTTAGTGTTAATGGTTATTTTCCTTTAATTTGTAATGACTCCAACAGTCACTTGCTTGGCCTGGGCATTTACATTCCATTCATTTCTCTCGTTTTTTCCCATTGTATTCAAATTATTCTTTTAAAGAGCAATAAACCTCAAAAAACTGTTTTAAGATCCACCTTTTTTTTTAGTTTTTATCAACGATGTTACTGATGTAATAATGGTGATAGCGGTATTAAGTTGTTTGCTGATGCCTGTAAGTTATATTAAGGAAGCAATTATGGAAAATTATTCTGTATTAATACAAACTAATTAGTATAAAGATGTGATCATATGAGTTTCACTATTCTCAGACAAGCCCTGGGTTGTTAAATTGGGCCATTGAAAAATTCCTGCCCTAGGTACACAAACTTTCCCGTGCTCAATGAGTTGAATTATGTGCTACACAAATATTATGCATGGAGGAAGTTATAGCATTAATAATAGCAGTTCCCTATCTTAAAGATTTATGCTATACATCTTGCTTATCCCAATTACTTGGGATTTTCCAAGAAACTATTCTAAAGTTTAAATACCCTCATAAATCAAAGACTGCAGCAAGTATGTACTAAAATCCAATAACAAATAATTTAGTTTTAGTTTTTTTATACACATAAATGTTGATAATGTTAATTTCTTTGAATCTAATCAAAAATTGTTTTCTGGAATTTTTGTTTTTGCTATGAAATTTGTAGACAATTTTTGAAAATTTAAATAATAATACCTAAATAAAATGTACAACCTATTATCTAAGCTAATTGAAATTTGGTCAAATAAGAGGATAGAGGTTTGTAAACTTTTATTCATGATAATTAATTAATAATTCTGATAATTCATTATAATTCATGATAATTCATTAATAATATTCATGATAATTCATTAATAATTCTGGATGTTACTAATGGTAAGTTTATAATTGGTATTTTTTTGGTAGCGACATCATTCCCATCAAAACGTTTGCTCAGTGTTGCTGGGGAGGTCATCAATGATCATTGTAGTTCACTCCTGCCACATAATGCTAATATATACTAATATATTAGCCAATATATTATGCCAATATTTCTAAAGTACAATTATTATCAATTATTATTACAATGATTATCCAATATAATATGGCAATATTTCTAAAGTACAATATATACCAATATATTATGCCAATAATTCTAAAGTACAATTCGAAACTGATTAAAGATATTTTAAAAAAACTGAAACTGAAGTTACTTTACTTCACTTTAAATTGTTTATCAATTATTTTGTTATGTTAAAATATGTTACGTGAAATTGTGTCCTTCTATTTCAATAACAATAATGAAGTTTAGCAGAAAACAGTTGTCACTTGTTATTGATAATGGTCAATATTGTCATTATCATTACCATTATCAATATCAAGTATGGATCTGCAAGATTTCGGAATAGACATCTGTTTACTATTGCTAGAAACCATGGTAGAAAGGTTTAGTCTATAGCCAAAGCCCGCTATTCTCAGGTCATGAAATCTCGTATTTCATCTGAAAAATTAGGTTCTGGTGATTTCTGGAGAATCTTTAACGGTATCAATAATAAAAGCAAATCTGTTAATCCACCTCTCTTGTATAGTTCAGTCTTTGTCACCTCACCCAAAAACAAAGCTGAATTGTTTGCTAAAAACTTTTCATTAATATCATCTCTTGATTCCACTAGTTGCGTTCTACCTGATGTAGCTGACAAACAGTTTGACTCATTGCATGAAATTCATATTACTCCAGCTTCTGTATCTTAAGTGATTTCCTGCTTAGACTCTTCTACAGCTTTTGGTCCAGACCTGGTCCAGTCTTGCAAAAGTGTTCTTGAGTATTTAATTAACAAACACTCAATCTCTCATCTTGAATTTAATAACTTACTTTCTAATCATCAATATGGATTTCAATCTTCTACAGGGTTTCCACACCTCCTTAAAAACCTTAAATATCCTTAAAAAATAAAAACCTCCTTAAATGTCCTTAAATAACCTTAAAAAAAGTTAAAATTTGGCTGCTTTCCTTAATTTCTCCTTATTTTTTTTTTATTCATCTAGAAAATTTTTTTCAAGTGAATGGATTATACTTGTTAATAAAGAAGATAATATATAAATTTTTGATAGTTTTCAAACCTATTTTTGTTATTATATATATATTAAAATTTATATATATATATATATATATATATATATATATATATATATATATATATATATATATATATATATATATATATATATATATATATATACATATATATATATATATATATATATATATATATATATATATATATATATATATATATATATATATATATATATATATATATACATATACATATATATATATATAAAGTAATAATAATTTCTCTGTTTATATTTAAAATTTATTGAAAAAAATAAGATTATGTTTTTAATGTAATTGTTTTCTCCTTAATTATCCTTACTTTTTCTTTCAAAAAAATGTCATTCGAGACCAAATCTCCTTAAATATTAGGAAAATATCTCCTTAAATCTTCTTAAAACCCTTAATTTTAGCCTTAGTTTTAATAGTAGGAACCCTGTTCTAGTTCTACAGCTGATTTGCTAATAGTAATAACCAATAGGTTTTATAATGCATTAGGTAGAGGTGGAGAGGTTAAGGCTATCGTTTTTGACATGCTTAAAGTTTTTGATAAAGTTTGGAATGCTGGTCTTCTCCATAAGCTCTCTTTTTATGGTGTATCAGGTAATATCTTCAAGATAATTGAATCCTTCCTTTCCAATCATAGTATAAATGTTGCCCTCATTGGACAGCACTCTTCTTCATATCCTGGAACTTCAGAGGTTCCTCATAGTTCTATCCTTGACCCTATACTAATTTTAATTTACATTAATGATCTTCCAAATATTCTCACATTTCAGGTGGCATTTTTTATTGTGACATTATTGCAGCTTGAAATTATTTTATTACTTTAAAAGACCATAAAGATAATTTTGCAAACAACCTAGGGTTTGTAAGGTAGACTAGACACTAGTATAGGGCTAGTATATACTAGTAAGGTAGACTAGACACTAGTATAGTTTATTTCTCTTCTAAGGGCTTATAATTTCTCTTAACATATCTAAAGCTTTCAATAAAGTTTGGCATGCTTCTTCATAAACTTGCTTTATATGGAAAAGTTTTTATTATAAACAAATCATTTCTTTCTAACCACTTAATCAAAAGTTATCTTCAAAAGCCAACACTCTTTTTCATTACCAATAACTACTGGGGTACCCCA